AAATATCATGCATAAGGTCTACTTGGTTATACTTGCTACCATGATAAGACTGCTTAGACAGATCCATTACAGATTCAGATCTACTCGTAGGCTTTTTCTCCTGGCTAACTCTACTCACTGGAGAACGTTGGTCAACCCTTATCCTATATTCGCTGTTCATATTACAACTGCAAGAATGGAAGTCACATTTGTCAGTCATGTGGTTGTTGGGACAACGGAGCTTCTCATTATACTTAGGACCACCATGTCGACCATTGAAATTTGAAGCATTTAGTCTTGACTTCCTATTTGATCCATTGAATCCCTTAGATGAAACCGTAAAAGCATCAACATAATGTCTTGTCTCGGACCTACCGACCTTTGCACCACTCTCTGAAATTACTGCATAACGTCGTCTGTCGGACCACTTCATTGGCATATCCAGTTGAAAATCTTTCCTATATCTTAATCTCCGACGAGAAACCCTTGATTGCTCAACTGTGAAAGTTCCAGTATCATTTTTTGTATTGATGATTTCTCCATCACATTCATTATAAGAGTGATCTTGCAATGTCACAGTATTACATTCGCCATATATTTCTTCCTCTTGGATGTTAGTAGATTCATCACTCAATATATTAGCACCACCTGTTTCAATAGCTGAATCCCTGCAGTTACGAGGACTAGTTTCCTCCATATCAGCGATTGCAGAGAATTCTTCCCTTGAAAATTCAGCTGAGTCAAAAGCATTATTAGATTCAGAACACTTTTTTCCTTTATCTTTCTCCTTTCCTTTCAGTCTTTCCTTTCTCCTAAGTTTTTTCTCCCTTTCCTTAGTCCTTCTCCTCTCCTTGCGTTCTTCTTCTTCACGTTTTTCCTTTTCTTCTTCTTCAAGAAGTTTCATCTGCATGAAAAATCAGTTGGGTAAGATTTAGGATTTTAGAATCAGAAATTTTATCCCAAAATCGAAGAACTCTGCTTTTCTTTTTGGCCCCTTTTTTTTTTTTGAAATAATACCTGCTTTTCTAATGTAATAATTTCTTTGCATGCTACATTAACACGTTCCTCTAGAAGTTTTAGTGCAAGACAAACAAAGATGCTGTGTGCATTTTGGCGAGCTGTTCCTTCTCTGAAAGCTTTTTCAACCTGATAAAAAGTAACACGGTCAGCAGTTCACAACACAGAAAAGTTAAGGATAGCAACAGAATTCAAATTTTACTTGACATACTTTTGCTGAGCATATCAATAAATAATTGGAGCATGCTTCAGATTTTGAAGCCTATATCCGATAATCCATGTGATACAAAACAGAGAGACAAGAAGAAGCCAAGGGTGGATAAAATTGGCCCATGGGCATATCTCTCACTGTCATAACAAATAAAATTCGAGGAATGTTCTCCTGTATGGAGCATCTCCCATCAAATGGATGCAAAAGGGTTAGGGGACATCCGCATGTGAGAGATCAATCTTGGCATCGCAAACTACGTTGATTTAGTTCCCTCCCCCCCCCCCCCCCCCCCAAAAAAAAAAAAGCATCAACAAACACTATGACCGCCTCTCCAACTTTTACCTCTTTCGTCTGTATAATTATCAGGTTTTGCAAAAGACTGTAATCGATCGGATTAAAATTTGGAACGGAATAACATGGCTGATACTCTGAACCTGGAAATTAGGATGAAATGACATGCACTTCTTTTGTCTCTATTTTACTTAAGCCAGCGAATCTGACTAATCAGGAAAACAGATGGTCAGCTCTAAGCTTTTCCCTCATTAAGAGGGGAAAGAACAAGTGTGAAACAAGTTTAACAGTCCTAATGCGATCCAAAAGCAAAAGTTGTTTGGCATTACCCTACATTATAAATTCCATCGATTATACCCAATTGACATCCCTTCCATACGGCACCAATTACTTTGTTTTGCAACTTTGCATGCATACCATATCAACCATTTCAAATTATGATGCAAAGACCTCCAAAGAAATATAAATATGCCCAGAAGGGGGAAGGGGAACATCATAATAAACTTCCTTTTTCTTTTTAAAAAACAAAAAGTAAAATTTTAACATGCCTGTTCTTTAAAAATGACAGTAGCAGCATCTAAAAGAAATTCTCGAGCAAGTTCTGGGCTCTTTGCATGCTTCTGGGGACGGGAGCATTCTCCATCAAGCTCCTTTCCATCCTTGTCTATCGAATCATCATCCTATAAGCATACATTACATAATAAATGAAACCTTTTCAATACTAAGTTCCCCGAAAGATTTGAAAATAAACACACAAGCGGGAATTATGGACAACAGAAATGAAATTTATTTCCTAATTTGAACTTACCTCTTCTTCCTCTGCCTCTTCAGCATGCTCAAAGAATCTTCTGATGCTTTCCCCTTTCATGATTGCAACATATCCTTCTCCTACTATTAGCCTGCAGTGTACACATCGTTGACCCTTCAATGCATAAGCTTTGACAGAAAGTTCAGTACATCGTCCACCTTGCTTCCAAGCTCGGAGAGTGATGAAGCATGCACTCAGACCACAAAGATCTAGGCCATTGACTTGAACGCATCGATTCATCCCAACATTTTCAAACTCCAAAATATCGGATTTTCCTTCACTTGTCCCAACAGCCCACTCAAAGTGATGATATGATCCCAATGTATCAGCAAACGTCTGTCGCCAATCAGCTTGAATTGAGTCATCAGATACCTGGTAACACAAACAGATAAATTATGTGCTTAAAACAACATCTGCTCTATATGCATAGGCAGATTAGTTACAGATCTCATCATTACAACAATACCGTACACTATTCCGTTGGAATCTCAATCAAAACAATTTTACAGCATAGAAATATGGAAGCAAGACCTCATACTGAAAGGCCGTGTCAGCAGCACAAAACCAATTAGTGCATCGAGGTTCTCTACGTGCGCGCTTCAGTTCTTTAAGTTCCTTGAATTCTCGAATAACATTTCTCCTACAATCTCTGCAAAATCTCTTGCTATCAAACCTGAAATAGACCCCCCAAAAAAAAATGCTTCTCAGAAAAAAAAAAACAGAAAGATAGAATAAAAGCTCCTTCAAAAAACAAAAGCTTAACAAGCACAAATACATCAGCATGGTCAAGAAAGACCTCCGCGGATACAATGAAGCTGCAGTAAATTAAATTTCCGTCAACGATGACAACATAAACTAGTTCGCTATTGAATCAAGCAACAGATTTTGCATTTGCTTCAAACTCTTTCCCCGTTCCCTTGTCTTTCTAAACTTTTTCCAATGTTTTTAAAATTATAAATGACACAGAATCCCCAATTCTGTTGTTTTTCACAGCTCCCCAGCAAGATCACCATACCCTTATAAAAAGTGCATGCGCATTACATGAACAACCCAATTGTTTAAACACTTGACCAAGAGATGACAATTATCATTTGAGTGGAGAGTGCATTTGGGTTCAATCATAAAAAACGGCCTATCAGACGATTTATCCTTTGTATAATTGCTTGACAACTCCTCAACAAAGTGATCCTTTCTTGTCCGATTACCCATGTCTCAAATCCTTGGATATCCCAATTTGACCAGCCCCATCCCATGAAATGAAGAATGTTTTATAACAATCCGAATCATTCTGCTTTTCCAGTTAATGACATACTCATAATTTTAGCATGAGCGACAGGTCTGCAACTGAATTGGGGACCACTTTTCATCATACAGTATTAAAACTACCCTAAGCAAGAATTGAGATAAAACCTTCAAAATCAGATGGCCTCTGGCAAGGCATGCAATTTAATAGATCCAACCCTTGGCTGCTCCCTGGCTTAGTGAGCTCCAGGATCACACATAAGCAGACAGAAAATAGGCATATTTAGCAGAGAACTGAAGACACATAACATCACTGACAGACATAATGTCCTCAACGCAGATATTCCAATAAATCCTTCAGACGCATTTCCAGATTCTCTTTCTCTACGTATCAGTTTCAACAGCGTACTGTTTCTAGGTATGCATCAGAATTCCAGTGCTAGCAATTGGTCACTTATCTATAGTTAATAGTAACGCAAGAAGTGTACAAATAGATAGACACCTGTACATAAGCCTCTCAATAAAATCTTCTTCTTTCATCCTCAAAAGAGATTGTCTGGTCTCATCTCCCAATGCTGACCAAAAATCCACAAGTGTATCACATGAAAGTCTGGCAGTGTGCAATGCGCATGTTTCCCTTGCCCCATGCCCTCTGCCATAACTCACTATTCCTTGGCTTATCCAACCCCGACCTCCTCCACCACATGCATCAGGATAGAGCAGTTCTCTTTCCCGCTCCCTTGCACGTGCCCCGTCAAAGACCTGGTAGGAACAAAGTTCAAATAATAATCAAGAAAAAACGATTGAATAAGAAGCCACTAAAAAGTGTTCTAAACTTACAATTTGAAGTCCTTTCAGAGATTTAGAGTACAAGTAGCATTCCATAAGTGTCAGTGAATTATCTCGTGTTGTGGTCAAACCTCCCCAAGGGTGGACGGATGGGTCTTGAATTTCATCTGATGAGAACCCATTCGTCATGCTTGATCCACCACTACCATTATTCTGGCTTCTCAAACCTCCAGATCTTTTGCAATTAAAGTGAGCAAAAGCTCCATCATGCTGTAAAGATTTCCCATACATAACAATCTGCAAAAAACGTTCAAGAAGTAACCCATTGCACCTTGAGCAGTACATGTTTTTACGAGCTTGCTCAAAGAGGGTTTGCTTGTCTATCCTCAAGAGTTCCTGCCTAGCTCGTGGTGACAACTCACTCCAGAACTGCATAATGTAGAGCATCCCACGAGAGATGAGTAAAGCACATTACAGATAGCAATTTTGTCTAGAAAACAAGGTAACATGTTCCCAAGACAGATCAAATTTCTAGGACCTAGTAACAGCTCCATGGAATTTTTCCTCCCTCTTCCCCTTTTATCTGACGCGCATTACACAGTCTTAAAAATAAGTCACACTGATTTTGGCTAGTGAATAAAGCGTTTTGCTATAGGTTTTATTGTTTATATATATTGATGTATTAATATTTATATCTCATATATATTAATTTTTTTGCCCACAAGCACTGAAGGCCGGCTTCAAAGGTATCAGGAATCTTAACCTTGAGCAGCATACTGTGTAAAATGGTATATATTTATCAATGGGCAATTGAATGACGTAAATTTTGGTAACACCTGACAACATTTTGGTGCCATTTACCAGTCACGGATGTGGAGACACGAAAGAACAAACTGAACGCCGGCCATCAGCCACCGAGAACTGAATTAAAAACAAAAATTGCATCCCACAATTATGCTTCTAAAGGGGTCCTAAGCAATCAACGAATTGTTTGAACAGCAAAGATCCAGTACCAATCCAGGCAATCCAAAAATGTTTACACGCTAATGAACACACAACAGTGATCTAGTGGGATTCTGATTGACAAGAAAATCAGGTAACCAGGAGAGATGAGATAAAACATTGAATCCAGTACCTTCTGGAGCTGATTGTAGTTAACATCATCCCGATTCTTGGACCAAAATCCATTGGCAGAAAGCTTGTACGTCGCCGATGACCCGTTACTGAATTGTTCATTCTTTTGCGTTACTCCGGGCATTTTTAAACTCCGAAAGGTTCATTCATAGCGTCCATTCTTTGACTACAAAATTCCGTCGAATACAGAAACCGAATAGGATATAACTATAATAGATAATGGGAAATTTATATGAATCCGATACCCGACTATATAAGTATAATACAATAAAATGAAATTAACAATAATTCATCGATCGACCAAGCGCTGGGATCAAAATGGATCAGTGTGGACGCGAATACGATCGGACAAACAAGAGGGGAGGTGAAGGAGTGAGAATTGGGAAAGATTAGAACGAAAACGGCGGGGACGACAGAGTGTTTAATTGACGAAGATGAGATTTGGTGCAGTGTGTGTATATATTATTTGTAGGGGGAAGAAGAGAGAGACAGCCAGGAGATTGGCAATGGCAGCTCATGGACACGCGGTTAAAGGGTGCCCGCCGGCCCGCCCGGGTACTGTTACATTTCACCTGTGTATTACCAAAAAAAAAAAAAATTCTCGGTGCTAAATATCAACCTATTGTATAATATAAATTACGTTATAAAATAGGTTTTATATTTAAAAATAGACGGTGTATTTAATTAGTAAGACTCAACGATTAATGGGGCTGATATGAATATCCATATTAATAATTAACGAACAGAAACTTGGGACAAACAAGTTCTAAATGGAAACTAAAATGAATCCGGTGAAAATGAATATCTCGTAAATAAATTTTTTTAGATTTAACTCAATTAAACTGTTAAAGAATTTTGTATGCTCTTACCAGCAGAGCTAAGTAATTAAAAATTGGATATAATCTTTAAATATTAGTGGTGTCACTGTCAACCGTACTGTTTTCGAATATTACTCCTCCGGTCCTATTTATAAGACCCAATTGACTTATTTGAGGAGATTAAGGAAGTAAGTTAAGTTGGTTATTTATAATAAATAAGTGTTGTCATTCCTAAAATATCCTTGCTAATTAAGTATATTGACTAAAACTATCATTATTAGAAGGATTATCTTGGAAAAAAATGATAAATATAAGAGACAAAATGGATTGGGTCTTATTTAGGACCAAATAAAAAGTCAAAATTGGGTCTTATAATAAGGACCGAGGAGTATTTCATTATTTGAAATTTGAAATACACTAAAATATAATCAGCGATTTGTGGAGAACGCTAGGATTAAGCTTTTAGGAAAATTTCAGGTCAAAAAATAAAGTTTTTAGAAAAATTTAATACTACTTCTGATCCCAAATATATGCAATTTGGTTGTCAACTTGTCATCTTAGATTTAGGGTAAAAGGATGAAAAAAAAAAAATCAGTCGGGGTATTGGTAACTTGGGAGTAATGTTTATTATTGGAAATTTTTATTTCTTAACATACTATAGCCTATAAGATAGAAGGAACTTTGCTTGGGAAACAAAATGATGAATTATTTATAAGGAGACATCATTTTGCATGACTGGGCTCCCTTTATGAAAATGAAAAGAATGCGGGTTTATTTTAAAATAATCGTTATTCCCTGACAAACACTTATTGTTAATAATATCATTAATACTTTAAAATTCACTTATGTTAATTTAATTAAGCATATAAGGTCAAGTGCCTAAGGCATTACCCAAGAAAAAAAATTAAAATTGAGAGAAGTGAAAGTTAATAATCACCCGACGAATTTAATATTTAAAAAATTTTCTGTATGTGATATAAAATGTTTCATCTCTCAATGTTTTTTTTATGCATATTTATCAAATTCCCTGCACGTAATTATGAAACGAGGGGAATCATTTGTTTCATGGGATCACTGGTGAAAAATTATTCGTGATATGGACATTTCATCAATGGTCATTACGCATTTTTATTTATTTTTTCTTTTTATGCGCTGGCTTTAATCCCAGAAGATAATTTTAGAAATTCAGGGTTTATCTATAAATAATTGTGCCCTTGGTCTTGAACATGATTTTTCCTTTAAGAGACGGACAACGGTACAGGGAGATATGAGGTCATTGTGAAGAGCCTGTGAAGCCAGGATGCAGAAATAGTGACGACATGATGGCCGGAGCCATATTTTTTTCCTCAGAGCTGTGAAAAATCGGGTTAAATTTATTAAGTTAAATTATATGATCCATTAATTTGATACGCTACGTTTATCTATCATAAAAATTGAAAAAAAAAAAAGAACGCACGGATTTTATGTTTTTTTTTTTTCAACTCATCAATTAAACTTATATCACAATAATAATGTATCTAATTGGAGCACTATGCTGAGCCATGGAATATGACAAATTAAATGATGATTATTTTTTGTGGACTAAACATATCAATCAATAGATCAAAATAGTAAAACGTATAAATTTATAATAAATTTATTTCATATAAAGACAAATCATCACTTCACTATTTCGTCATTGAAAATCACCACCCATGAACGCGACAATTTCAACTTTTAAATATTTGCATTTTCTGATTAACCGCGAACTATCTGTGACAAAGATGTTAGAAGTTGACGTTAAAGTTGTAACTTTTACAATCACATAGCGACACAATAAATCAACTTTTAAAAATTTGTATTCTTTTACTCGATTACGAGTGATTTGTAACAGAGATGTTAGGCGCTGAAGTTGACGTCGTAGTTTTTATAATTACATGCCAACGTAACCGTAATAAACCGGCCTTCTTCTTCTTCTTCTTCCGTTTCATCGCTTCCGTAAACAACCATTCGGAAGTGGGAATCATGCTTACTCCTAAAAGTTTAGCTTTGTTATCTGACATGTTTTCCAGCTCAAAATATCACAGTTTTATCTCAAAAAATATTCAAGAATTCATCAAAGCAAACGGTTGATTTAGAGCTTCATGGGTTTCAAAAGACATGAACGTGCACCCACGTGCCTATGATACGTGAGATCAGAGTTAGATACCTGGAGTAAAATAGTCCTGATGCGGGTTGTCAGCTTTGAACTTGAACATTAAATCTTGTCTTTATCATTCAAAAAAAGAAGTCCTGACGGAGATCAATTAAAAAAATAGAAAGAATGATGGGAAAAAGAAGTTTTTATTTGCGCTTCTGAATTCTGATATTTAATGCATTTAAATTTAAATTATTATGATACTATTAAGTGATGAAGTATTTTTAATGATGATATGAAACTTGTTGATATTAAATAAATATAAAACTATTCCTCGTGATGTGAAAAATATTTTAAACAATAGCACATTAGACAAAAATCTAAGATATTTTTTCTTCCCGTCCTGACAGCCAAGATAAAGCAGCGGGAGCATGAACCAGAAAGTTAAGCTCGAACAAGCTAAACGGATACGAAATTTTTTCGTTTCATACACTCTCAAATGTCTCTTAGTCTTTTCGCTCTCCCTCTGTCTTTTTCTTTTTCTTTTTGTTTTTTTCCTTGGGGTTTTGCTTGCCTAAAAATCTCACAGACCGGAGTTATGATTCTCGGTCATGCATGCGAACAACAAATGAAGTTTCCAGTTGAAGTGGATGTCAAAGGGACAGAACCATGATACAATCTGGAGCAATGGAACTTTGCTTAAAACTGAGGTTATTAAGTTATAGATTGCACAAAATTTGATTAAATACACTGATACTTCCGATGAGAATATCAAGCACCGGATTCAGAGCCAGCCGGCTTTGAATTGAGAAGTGGCTGAAGAGCCTTAGCCACTATTGTCATATTTGGCCGGAAGTCAGCTTCATACTGAACACAAAGTGCCGCAACTGCTGCCAACTAACACAACTCAAACACCATGAAGAAACTTATTTAAGCACGTTGTTTCATTTTTCTCAGGACCAACACAAGGTTAAGAGAAAAAGAAAACCGAAGGCTGAGAGTAGAGAAGAGGACCTTAGCAACGGCCTTTGGGGGGTATTCACTGTTTAGCTTCGGATCCACACACTGCTTCACTTTGTCCTCACTCAGCCTTGGAGTTGCCTGTAGCAGCAAGAAACATTAGCAGATGGACAATTTGAAATGGGGCTAAGATCACTCAAGATTGAGTAATCGATCATGACATACCCACGTCACTAGACTTTGTTGCCCCTTAGGCATTGTGTGGTCCACTGGCTTTCTTCCTGTTAGGAGTTCTAAGAGCACCACTCCAAAACTGTAGACATCACTTTTCTGGGTAATCTGGCCAGTCATGGCATACCTAAACAGATGTGCTAACGTGAAATTGATTTCAAGATATTTATGTTGAAGAGTGATTGCTTGTTTCACTGTGAATAGTACATTTAAGGAGGACCGGGAATTCCGGGGCATACGTACTCTGGAGCATGATAGCCAAATGTTCCTAAGACCCTGGTTGAATGAAGCCGAGCCGCTGTGTCAGAACTCTGGTTTGTCAAGTTGAATATCAGCAATCTTGGACTCGAAGTCATCGAACAATAAGACATTGCTTGATCTCACGTCACGATGAACTATGGACGGTTGACACTTCTCATGAAGAAACTCAAGGCCTTTTGCTGCACCATATGCAATTTTTACTCTTTGGTTCCACCTTAGTGTTGGACCAGGTTCAGCCCCCTGTACACCTTTCCTTCCTGCATCATCCGAATTCTACTACTTAATTATCAACACACAGATAATTATATATTTGAAATAATTAATAAAGTAGTCAGTTGTGCGCCCTCTACCCTACCATGCAATATATCATGCAGAGAGCCCTTGCTTGCGTACTGATAGACCAAAATTCTGTTGGTTCCCTCGAGGCAATACCCCGTCAACTCCAAAAGATGCTCATGCTTTAGTCTTGAAACTATAGATAACTGCATGATACACAGTGGCACAATACAATGTTTGAGGGCCAAAAACATTCCCGCAGTGGATCTCAGGTGAACCAGAGCCTGACCTGTGCGGTAAAATCAGAGTCTGGTTCTGGTGAAGAACTGTTATCCAGCTTTTTGATGGCTGCATCCTGACCATTTCTTAACTTTGCGTAGAAAACCCGTCCGTAGGAACCTTCTCCAATCAAAGCATTGGAACCAAAGTTGTCCGTTATACTATTCAGCTCTTCCAGTGAAATGGCTGGTGTCTCAACCGATAAATCTCTCTGTGGACCGCCTGTCTTGAGAACATTGCCCCTGAGTTCTCCTCTCTCTCCTCCTATATTCAGACATGGTTACTCTAATTATTACTCATAACCTGGAAGAGAAAAGGCATTTTTCTGAGAGATTTATCAGATGAGGCATGAGCAAGCACTATGCTGAAACATTATGATGTTCCTAATGTTATATAAGAATATTCAGTAGTGCTTTCAATGGGCGAATGGTCTAAAACTGAGTCTGGACATTGTATGGACAAACCAATTAGGGGGAAAATAAGACACGAAATAAGAAATAGAAGAACATGAGCATGATACC